AGTGGGCACAGCTGGGCACCCCCAGGACATCACTGGGGTCCCAGGGACAAGCTGAGGGGCACTGGCACAGCTGGGAGGTCCTAGGGATGAGATGTGGCACTGGGAACAGCTGGGGACCCCCAGTGCCATCACTGGGCTGGTGGGGATGAGACATGGCACTGGGGACCCCCCTGCCATCTCTGGGGAACCAGAGACAAGCTGAGGGGCACTGGGCACAACTGGGGACCCCCAGGAAATCGTCAGGGTGGCAAGGATGTGGTGTGGGGCAGTGGGCACAGCTGGGCACCCCCAGGACATCACTGAGGTCCCAGGGATGAGGTGGTGGAGCTCTGGGCATGGCCAGGGACCTCCAGTGCCACCACTGGGGTTCTGGGGACCCCCAGGCCATCACTGGGGAACCAGGGACAAGCTGAGGGGCACTGGGCACAACTAGGGACCCCCAGGCCATCACTGGGGCCCCAGGGATGAGGTGGTGGAGCTCTGGGCATGGCCAGGGACCTTCAGTGCCACCGGTGGGGTACTGGGGACCCCTAGGACATCGTTGGGGTCCCAGGGACAAGCTGAGGGGCACTGGGCACAACTGGGGACCCCTAGGCCATCCCTGGGGTCCCAGAGACGAGCTGTGGGACGTTGGCACAGCTGGGGACCTCCAGTACCACCACTGGGGTTCTGGGGGCCCCCAGGCCATCATTGGGGTCCCAGGAACAAACTGTGGGGCACTGGGCACAGCTGGGCACCCCCAGGCCATCCCTGAGGTCTCAGGGACAAGCTCCAGAGCACAGCAGCCCCCCCTCCCCAGCCCCTCCTGCCCCCAGTGCCCCCGGTGCCACTCACCCAAGTGTCCCTGTGGCCCGGCTCGCCCCGGGGGCCCGGCTCGCCCTGGAACAGAGAGCAGAGGGCCTGGCAGCACGGGGGGCACGGGGGGAGCACCGGGGGGGGGCCCCCCCACCCACCTACCTGCGCCCCGTCCTGCCCGCGGCTGCCCGGGTGGCCCTGGGGACCCTGTGGGGGGACAGAGCCCGTCAGTGCCTGGGGGCATGGCCAGAGCCCCAAAACCACCCCAAACCAGCCCAAAACACTCTGAAAACACCCCAAACCACCCGAAATCACCTCAAAACCACCCTGAACCACCCCAAACCCACCCCGAATCACCCCAAAAACACCCCGAATCACCCCAGAAACACCTCGAATCACCCCAAACCCACCCTGAAACACCCCAAAAATCATCCTCTGCATCCTGAAATACCCCAAAACTGGCTGTGCCTGAGCTGCTACCAGGTGAGGGATCCCAAAAATATCCCAAAATCACTCCCAAATCATCCTTAAACTTCCCAAAATCATCCCCAAACCACCCCAAAAATCATCTTCTACACCCCAAAATACCCCAAAACCGGCTGTGCCTGAGCTGCTACCACGTGAGAGACCCAAAAATATCCAAAAACCACCCCAAAATCATCCTAAAATATTCCCAATAACCCCAAAACCACCCCAAATCACCCCAGAACTAGCTGTGCCTGAGCTGCTGCCAGGTGAGAGACCCCAAAACATCCCAAAATCACCCCAAAATATCCCAAATCGCCCCAAAACCCCCCTGAATCACCCCAAAACTGGCTGTGCCTGAGCTGCTGCCAGGTGAGGGACCCCAAAATATCCCAAATTATCCCAAAACCACCCCAAATCATCAGCTGAGGGACCCCAAAATAACCCCAAATCACTCCCAAATCATCCTGAAACACCCCAAATCACCCCAAAAATCATCTCCCGCACCCCAAAACACCCTCTGTGACCCCTGCTGAGCATCTGAGCCCCCCCAAAATCCCCGGGGGGGGGACTCACCCTGTCCCCCTTCTCTCCGGGGGGACCCGCAGCTCCGGGCGCTCCGGCTCTTCCCTGCGAGGGACAAGGTGGGTGACACCCCCTCGGGGGAGGGGACACCCCGGGGTCCGCCCTCCCCTCCCCGCCCCAGCACTTACGTCGGGTCCGGGGGGTCCGGGGGGTCCGGGGGGCCCGGTGGGGCCCGGGGGACCTGTGGGAGAGGGGGCACAGCTCAGCTCGGCCCCGGGGCACCCCAAAACGGGTTGTGGGGGGCAGGGGATGGGGACACACACTCACCCACGGGTCCCACGGGTCCGGGGGGGCCCACGGGCCCCACGATGCTCCTGGTGGGCTCCATGAAGGTGTTGGAGAGGAGGGGGTCCCCTGGGGGAAGGGGGAAAGGGGGGTGGGCAGGGGGCAGGGCTGGGGGGGTGGGGGACCCCTCCCCTGCTCTGTCCCACACCTGGGACCCCAGTGTTGGCAGGGGGGTCCCCAGTGCTGCCCAGTGCCCCCCACCTCCTCCCTGGCACCCCAATGATGGTAATGGGGTCCCCAGTGCCACCCAGCCCCTCCCACCTCATCCCTGGGACCCCAGTAATGGCAACGGGGTCCCCAGCTGTGCCCAGTGCCCCCCACCTCATCTCTGGAGCCCTGGTAGTGTCAGGGGGATCCCCAGTGCCCCCCACCTCATCCCTGGAACCCCAATGATGGCAATGGGGTCCCCAGTGCTGCCCAGTGCCCCCCATCTCATCCCTGGGACCCCAGTGATGACAGGGGGTTCCCCAGCTCTTCCAGTGCCCCCCACCTCATCTCTGGGACCCCAGTGGTGTTAGGGGGTCTGAAGTGCTGCTCAGTGCCCCCACCTCATCCCTGGGACCCCAATGTTGGCAAAGGGGTCCCCAGCTGTGCCCAGCACTCTTCATCTCATCCCTGGAGCCCTGGTGGTGTCAGGGGGGTCCCCAGTGCTGCCCAGTGCCCCCCACCTCATCCCTGGGACCCCAATGACGGCCCAGGGGTCCCCAGCTGTGCCCAGTGCTCCACACTTTATAACTGGGACCCCAGTAATGGCCTGGGGGTCACCACTGCTGCCCAGTGCCCCCCATCTCATCCCTTGAGCCCTGATGGTGTCAGGGGGATCCCCAGCTGTGCCCAGTGCCCCCCACCTCATCCCTGGGACCCCAATGATGGCCCGGGGGTCCCCACCTCTTCCCCAGGACCCCAATGACAAGCAGGGGGTTCCCACACCACCCCAGCCTGAGTAATGCTCGGACCCCCCCCCACTCCCCCCGGTCCTCTGTGCCCCCAGTCCAGCCCCGTTCGTGGGGTGGGGCCGGGGAAGGACCCTCACCCTCACCCCCCTACCCCAGCCCCCCTTACTGGGCTGGGCCAGGCGGGGGGTCGCGGGTCCCACGGGGGCAGGGGGGCCCGGCGGGCCGGGGGGGCCGGGGGGCCCCTTCTCTCCGGGGAGCCCCCTGGCCCCATCCCGGCCGGGGGGTCCCGGGGGGCCGGGGGGACCTGCGGGGAGGAAGAGGAGGGTGAAGGTCGGGGGGGTGCCTGCAGCCCCTCCGACCCCCAAACCGCCGCACGGACCCCCCGAGATCCTCCCACCAGGGGAGGGGGGCTCAGCTGGGGTCAAGCGACAGATTTGGGGGGTTGTCCCCCGCTCATCCCGTCGTCCCCCTCCCC